CATTTCATTTAAACTTCTTTCCTCAAGTTTCACTTGTAAAACAGAAAAACATAAAACACCAAATGCAGTTAGAAACACTTAAAAAAACAATTTTAACAGTAAAAATTGGAGTTTCTGTGCAAAAACAAGCAATTCAACCAGCAGGCAGGAAAACAGATTTTTTGGTGTACAAAATAATAAGTTCTTTTGGTCCCACTCATCAGAAAGACACTGAAGTTGGTGCAAAAACTGACTTAATTTACTATTCTACTAAAAGTTTCAAATGTAAACAAATAATGGCCTCATTAGGCATAACACTTTTGTAAATTGTTGTCTATAGCTATTGCATGCATGCTATAAAAGTCTACAGCTATTGCATGCATATTAACTAAAGCATAAAAACCTTAACCAGAATATGACAATATAATTCAGTCACTTTTAAAACAAAAAATTCACAATTTAGTAACATATAGTTACTAACACAGTCACATATACAGTTTTAGTAATGTATCATATACTGTAGTAATGTTTTAGAACAAGGATGTCAAACTCGCGGCCCACAACAAATATTTTTGCGGCCCGGCCAATATATCGGCAAATAATAATATATAATAATAAATAACATATCGATAGAAAAAATTAAATGTTTACTGCTAAGTAATTAACGATAATTTATTCAGTGTTGTTAGATTACTCACAGCGAGCTGATACACACACTACTTAAATTAAAATGCGTGTGAGTAGCTTGCGTTCAGCTACCTTCGGCTTTGGGGACACGTGCACGTGTACGCATCCCCGATCGAATGTGGCCGAACTAATGGTCTCATTTTTTCCAATCATAGTTTTGTACAATATATTGGTGCATGCACTTTGCTTTATAATTAATTATTACTTAATCATTTTACGGATTTGTAGTTATTTTTTTTTTTTTTTTTTTTTTTTTTTTATTTAGAATTGTAATTAGATTTTGCTTCATGTTGCCTTAGCAACGCAGACGATTTTGAAAGACAGCTGCATTGAAGGTTAAAATAGAACAGCGCTGCATTTAATACCTAATAAATAAATATCTCGTAATTGCTGTTACCAATCTAACAAAAATCCAGATATTTATAGATGTTTCCAGTATATTCAAGAAATTAATTATAAAGCTTATAAAAGCCGAGAACAAACAACTCATCTCAGTAGTAGCTGTAGTTCTAAGCTTTTTTTTTTTTTTTTTTTTTTTTTTTTTTTTTTTTTTTTGTTTTTTTTTTTTTTTTTTTTTTTTTTTTTTGTTTACTTAATTAATGCTGTGATTGATTTGTAGCGATTTCGCTGTGAGATAGAATTAGTTTTCTCTTTTTGAATTGATTTTTGCTAACTTTGACATTTTGTAATATTGTTAGAATATTTTTGAAGAAATATTTCAAATTTTGATTTATCTCTTGAGAAGAATAAATTTTGTTAACTTTTTATGTTAACCGTTATTCCAGCTCTTTGTATTCAGTATGTCTATATCAAAACCCAAGTGGTAGTAAAATTAACGAAAAATGCTGATGAACATAGAATATTCCAAGTAAAATGGGAATTAGAATATTTTTGCTGTGAAATAAAAGATAAAATAATCTGCTTGATATGTAATAATACTATTATGTACCAACGTTTATATAATATTAAACGTCATTACGAACACACAATCGAAATATAACAATTAGGAAGGATTAATGAGAGAAGAAAAGTTGAAAGAGTTCAAGTTAGGAGTGAAAAAGCAACAGTCCATGTGTAGTAAAGTATTGCAAGAAGTGAAGCGGCGGTACATGCAAGCTACGTCTTGTCTGAGTAGATAGCTAAACATTCAAGCCTTTTTACTGACGGTGATTTCATCAAGGAATGCCTAATGAAAGCTGGAGAAATTGTTTGTCCTGGAAAGTGAAGCTTTTCAATCAATTTCATTGTCTCGAAATACAGTTGCGGAAAAAAGAGTTACTGATTTAGCCGCGAATTTAAGAGGATCAGATCAAAGCAAAATCATCTAGTTCGAAAGTTTCTCCATTGCCTGTGACGAGAGCACGGACATTAGTGACAAAGCTCAATTAGCAGTGTTTCTTCATTCTTGTGACAAGAATTTTAACATTTTTGAAGAATTACTGGAACTAATACCGATGCCTAATACCTGCCACAGGAGAAGATATATTTACTTGTGTTTTTGGACTTCTGCAGAAATACAATCTACCTTTGGCAAAATTAAATTCTGTAGCTACAGATGGCACTCCATCAATGACCGGGAAAAACAAGGGCATTTCTTAGCATTACTAAGAAAAAAACTTAGTGAAATTCACGGTTCAAACATTCATCTTATGCATTGTATTATACATCAAGAAGTTCTATGCACGAAAGTAATAAATATGGAGAATGTTTTGTCATATATAAAAAAAGTTATAAATTTTATAAGATCTCGAGGTTTAAATCAGCGTCAATTCACTGCTTTCTTAAGTGAGTAAGATAGTGAATAGTATTCGGGTTTGTCCTACTATACCGAGGTACGTTGGTTATCTTGCTCCAAGATTCTCAAACAATTCTGGGATTTGAAAGGAGAAATATGTCAGTTTTTAAAAACGAAAAATCAAGACGTAAGTTTGTTTTACGATCCAATATGGATACAACATTTATCTTTCTTGGTTGATATAACCAAAACTTAACCGATTTAAATTTATCGTTACAAGGAAAAGATCATATCATTACGAACATGTTTGACATAATTAAAGCATTCAAATGTCAGCTAGTTCTTGGGAAAAACAACTTAAAAATGAAGATTTGACGCACTTCCCCCGACGTGCCAGCATGAACAAATCAAGTTTTAGATGATACTTGTTCATATCAAAAATACGCAGAAAAAATTGCAAATTTAACAAACTGAATTGAAATGAGGTATTTAATGATTTTAGTTCCCTCAAGACATTTTTTTTTTTTTTTTTTTTTTTTTTTTTTGTGTTTCTTTGATTTTTCTCAATAAGTATTGACTCAGTACCCAGCCATATGCAATGGAGGTGATCGAGATTCAATGCAACTCAATTTGAAAGCAAAATTCATTGAAGTGGGCGTGCCTGAATTTTACAAATATTTACCAGCCAGGTTTGAAAATACACGAAAATTCGCATATGAAATTATTTCCATGTTTGGTAGCGGTAATCGGTGCGAGCAGTTATTTTCAGTCATGAGAGGTAATAAGTCTCCTATTAGAAACCGTATTAATGATTCATTATCACCTTGGGTCAGTGTTGAAAGTTATCACTGCCAACAAAATTTCTCCCGAAATAGGAAAGATAATAGCAGAGAAGAGATGTCAAGTATCAGGACGTAAACATTAAATTTTTCTTGTTATTTTCTATATAAATATATATATATATGTTTATTATTGTATTATTCGAAATAAATCTACGTTTCTATGAATGTTGATTTTTTTTTTTTTTTTTTTTTTTTTTTTTTTTTTGGCGGCCCGCCTAAAGTTAAACCTTGTTTGTTTGGCCCAAGTGTACCTATGAGTTTGACATCCCTGTTTTAGAACATTGAAATTTTGTATATGTGACAATTTAGTAACATATGTATTTAAAAAGTGAATTTATATGAAAGCTGATATAATAATCATTTAATGATCTTTCTCTTCAGCTAACATTTTTAACACCTTGAAAAGGGACCATTGTTTTCAGTTAACAATAAAGTCTTATACATTACAAATAAAGACTGGAATACAACATATATTGGCAAACAATAATGTTAAAGATATTTTGTTATTTACATATTATCCCGCTGAGAGTGAAAGTGTCACTAAGTAGAATTATTTAGTGCCAGTTATGGATAAGAATGACATAACAACTCACTCATGACATCTGCACTTTTGTTCTATGTAACCCTGATTGATTATTAATAAGCCACCTTTTGTTTTCATGAACAAAGAAGGATGTTTATTAACTGTTACTGCTGTATTATTTCCTCAAATTCTGAAAAATAATTATTAAAATTAGGAATGTCCCTTATATAGAGAGAACAGCAAGTGGTGGATTATTTTAAAAGTTATGAGGTCCTACCATAAAAAAAAGAGTGTGTATTAATGGATACGATATGGTCAGCTGAATATGGCCAACAGAACATTAACAGACTGGAACAATAACTATGAAAAATTTGCACTTGTATTAGTAAAATTAGAGAAATCATCTAAAGCGTTAAGTCCAAAAATTTAAATTAATTGTTATTAAATTTTATTTTAAATTTTAAATGAAGATATTTGGATTTATTCATTAGAGTTGCTACAAATTACCTACATTTTGCAAAATGATATTTCTATAATTTTTCTATCAATATGTGAATAAGATTTTGGTTATGATTAATCATACAGAATATGTTAACATTTCTCTGTATAGTAATTTGCTTGTACACAAGAATTATTTTACAGTTTTATCAATAATTAAATCTTACACAATTATTAAAACTTTTGAAATATTTTATGATTTAAAAATCCTTTTAATACTGCATGCTGAATATTTTAATAATAGTTAAAAGTTTATGAAACAAAGATTGACTTGCAGTTTACCATATGATTGTGAAGCAATCTACTTTTAATTTGTTTGCTATCTATTTAAATATAAGTATTAGTGACTTGGTCGCTTTTAGTACCCTTCCTTTTATAAGTGTCTTTTATAGTCAGTGTTTTACATCCTTGTAGATAACTTGTGATACCTTTTAGAATATGAAATGATTAGTGCTTCTCACTCAGTAAGTTCATTTTTTAAGTTAAGAAAATAACTTTTATTCTTTTTTTCTGTGAACTCGTTTTGTTCAATTCTGTCTTTTAAATTGATGAAGTAAATATACACACAATGTGTATAAATATATGATTTATCACAACTTTGAGAATCAGGCATTCAGAAATTCTCGAAAGTACGATCGTTCTATTTATTCAGAACTTTACAAGTGAGCAGCACTAAATGTAGATTATAGTTTTGTTGATATACATGTTTGAGATGAAATGTTGTCTTTGATTGCAGGAGAGTCCTTCCCAATCTCCTCATCCTTCAGATTCACCGGTAGTATAGATACTATTTCCATCCTTTCTATTTCTGTAGAACCTTATCTCTTCTATCGCATAGATTTAGTATTCTCACTTAATGTTGGCATGTGTAGTAAGATTTTTTATGTTAGACAACTTGAAGAATTTAACTTTTTGTAGTTTCTTTAGTACCCTTATTGGTGATTTCAGTTATAGCAGATGTGTCCAGCAGCTTTTCTTTGATAACTAGACCTTGCAAAATTGCCTTAATTATAACAGTGAAAAGTTAAAAAATATGTTTTACTGAAAATTATTAGTAGATGCAAAGTGCAGAAAAGAACAGTGAAAACTGCAGCTCGTGGTAAATGTACCGCACTATGAACATCCCAGACTGTAAGCTAGAAAGATCAAAATTTTATTTTACTATTGATTTATTGTATTTTAGATGTACTGCATTAATCCCTGTACATATTACTTTGTAACAAGAGTGAATATGTCACAAACTACCTCCGTATTCTTCAATACACAAATTCATACAACATATGTATCTCACTACATTTTTCAAAGTTCTGATGTGTGCTGCAAATCTTTCAGGTTCTAACCCTGCAAACCTGTAATTTTCCATAAGACTGAAAATGCTTTGACTGTCCTTTATTCTCTTCTCTTGCTCATAAAGTCAGGTGTTTTGCTTTGCAATCCACATATGTGTTTTCATGAAAGGTCAGATGCATATAGCCCAAGCAGTAATATTCACAAATTATCTGGTTGTAATGAAAGTTTTCCACCGAAAAAACATGAAAGCAGTACCTTTAGTGTGGGTAGTAACCCCCAACCAGATCTATTATTTTTCTGCCAATGTTTTCGTTGTTTTTCAAAGCCTTCGGTCCCAAAACTTGGTGGCTGTGAGTTCAAAAACAGATCAACCTCATTTTTTATATCCTGTGCAGAATGAAAAATAGCACCAGCAAAATGCAGCTGCAGGTATGAAAAAAGGTAGATGTCTGAAGGAGCGATGTCGGTGCTATATGATGGAAGTAGCAAAAGATCCCATTCGAGTCCATACAGAGTCCAGCCGATGAATGCAGACACATGTGGTCTTGCATTATCTTGATGGAAAATTACTTTTCGTGCCGGAAGATAGCAGCATCAACACGGACTAGTATCTCTCTGTACCCCTTACTGTCAAGGTTTTACCTTTTCCAGATACCCTTTATAGATAACACTATGCCAATCCAACCAGATACAAACCATCACCTTTTTGTTAGTCGAATTGTGCTTTGCAGTGCTGCCGATGAGCTCACCAGCCACAGACCAATCCCCTTGTTGGCCTGTGTTGTTGAAGTTAATCCACTTTTCATCACAAGTGATGATCCAGTCCAGAATTTGTCCTTGCTTTGATATTCAACCAGATTAGTGCAGGCCCGAACAATATATGTCCATATCTGCTTGAGTCAGCTCTTGTGACACCCAGCAATTGAACTTGTACATCAAGTTTATGCAATGCTTAGCACAACTAATCGACATGGCACTAACACATATTGATCTTCTTCCTTAAGTTCTCACAGGTGGGCCTCATCAACATCAGTAGTCCAGCCAGAGTGCTCTGCTTCAGTCCTTGTTTTTTAACTTTGAGTACCAAGCCTTTACAGTGTCATATGGTACAACATTAGTATCTAAAGCTGCAGAAATGATATTGTGACATTTTGTAGCTGACTTTTTGCAATAGAACTAGAAGTCAATGATGGTTCTAATCTGGCAGCATGATAGCTCCATTTTAGACACCTTGTGCTTAAGCATAACCATATTTCTTTTACAAATTTCTTACCACTGTGTTCTAAATAAAGTCTCTTTCTTTCAAATGCTAAAAATCATTTGACAAAATATGATTAAACATGCCAACATGAACTTTTTGTGCAGACGATATTTGCGTTGGTGTAAAACTTTTGTTAAACCCCGATATTTCCATTGATCCAGTAAATAATATTCCCATTCTCACTGGCTAAAACTTATCAGTCATTTAGCCATATTATCATCAAGGGCTTTGGCCAGCATGCACTACAGAGGGTAAGCTGATAATAGACCCACAAGAAGGTACCCGCAAACAGCCAAACCTTGTGTAGGACTCAAATTTGCAACATGAATTCGGACTAGCCATTGCTAGTCTGAATCCAGGAGGAAAGTTCTTCAAGTCTTGCAGTCCAGGATGCAAGACTTCTGATAATCACCATACTGTCCTATAGAAAAAAAGTTCTACTAAAAGGTAGAAAATATTAAGAAATATATTTGCATAAATTTTTTTGTGCCATTATATTCTAATTTTTCTTGAACCATTTTTCCACAATTTCTACCACAGTGTTTGTCATCCATTATAAAAAAATTACACTGAAAAGAAAATTTATTTTTCATATTTTGTTTTTAGATTCATCTTACCAAAAGAAAATGTAACTTATCTGTAAAGATATAATAACATTCTTCAGCTAATGGTGAAAGCATCTCATGTTGTGCTATTTTTTCCCATTAAATATGTAGATTATTTAATTTGAAATTAATGTCCCTTAAGAAAGTAATTAATTTATCTATTAAGAATTCAAAAGGTACTGAATGCAGGTGTAGCCAAATTTGAGTAATGGTGTAGTACGCAATCTATCGCCTTTTAGTTATTTATTTATTTTTAGATGATGATATTTTTAGATCATGTTCCAAGCAATAATTATGTTATTTGACAGATCTGAAAAGGTTACTTTTGCAAACTTGAAAGCTATCAAAATTAGCAGCTAGCCTATATACATGATGCCTAATTAATATAACATATCCTGATATATAAAATGGAAAGACCTAGATGTTTCTAATATTGATATAACTTAAATATGCTCCAGTAAAACAAATGAAAAATATAGTTATATGTAATATGTCCAGTTTTTTATTTAAAATTTGTAGTTCTATAAATAGATCTGAATTCTTGTCATTTCAGTAACTCAAAAGAGTAACATATACGAGTAGTGTGTGAGTCATTAAAAATACTCATTTTTAAAAATCAACATAAAACCTTCCCCCTTTTCTAAGTACAGTTTTATTATGATAATTTAAATGTTACTTACATTATGATCTACTTTTCCAAAATATCCTGTTCTTTCTTTCAAATATTAGAAAGTATATCTGATTTACATATTTTACTTTACATTAATTATATATGCAATTAACTATTGAGAAATTTTAATGTTAGAAAAGGATTTACATAATATTGTTTGAATATGCAAGCTGTTGGGAATAATGTATATGCATCTTACATGAATTATGTTTTCAGTACTATTCTATACTGCCATATAAGTTTTTTAATGCAAATCTTTGTATTTTTAATAATTTACTTTTTTAAAAAATAATAAAAAAATTGTAATTTCTCATCCAAATAAAATATTTTAAGGTAGAACACTTCCTCTATTCCCCAAAATAATTTTTACTTTATTTTTCTTTCCTTTTTCTTATGATATAAGATATGTATATACATATGATATGTATTTGAGATTTCTTAATGGGTCATATTGCAAAAAAGGGGGGCTGAAAACCATGAATCAGCAAATACATAATAATTACTAAGCCACATATGCAGAGGCTGCATTTTTAATAATTCACAAAATTCAACTTTTGTTTGGCATTGTTTTTGGTTTAAAAATTCAGTTTAGAAAACTTAGTGCACTTTAAGTAAGTGACCTTCCATCTTCAGGAATGAATTATGTTGGAAGAAAAAAAAATCTTTAATTCATTATATTTTTCATTCAGTGGTTGTGCATTTTGACAAATTTAATTGAAACCAAATTAGATCATAAAAAGAAAGTATTTTTCAAAATACAAACAAATGTTAAAAAATAAATAAATAACTTAAAATAATCCCACATTCTAATACAAAACAATAAATAAAAAGGAGAACTAAGTTATTTTATTTTATGAATTATAAAAACTTAGTTGTGCTCCATAAAAATAAAAAAAAAAAAATTCTAGCACCTTTGCATATGAAGACTTTTGAGGGAAATCTGAAGCACTTATTTTTTAAATACACTGGTACACATAAAAAATATATAAATATGTATTTCACTTGAAAAAAGGCTAAGTTGCTAAAGCTGTTGAAAACTAATAAATGTATATGAATTGAATTGGCTGCAAAAGTTTTTTTTCTCTTTGTTAGTATAAATAGGATCAATATTAATGTTTAAAAGACAGGCAAAAGGCTTCTATTTCTAGATAGATTACTGTTGGATATTTTGCCATTATTAGACACTCAACTAAACTAGAAAGGGAAATTTGCCTGTTGAAAAAGAAGGAGATTTCAAAACTCGAGGGGGGGGCAATTCATGTATTACAATCTGTTATTAATGGATCACCGTCAAACAACTACTTTTTACTTTATACAGCTTTTAAGCAATAATATATACATATACCTGAACTACTTTTTTGTCAATGCAATTTATGTGAGAGTCAGCAAAATCATTTCTGGATAATTTAAATATATATGCCGACAGTCTTTAAATGGAGCATGCTAATATCATGAATGGTATATGTGACGGTGATCCCAATAACCCTCTTTAGACAATCGTACAACATTAATATCCTTTCTGCAGAGGTGATCCAAGAAGCTGCTAACCTATCAGTCAAGCCAACAAGGTAAGGCTAAGCTGAGTCAACAGGTACACTCAGCAACTCACATTCCACATCCCCATCCCTGGAGGGAATGTAAAAAATCTGCCATCAATGGGTCCCCAATCCCGGACAGCAGAACTAAGTCAAAGATAACACTCAAACAGACCAGGGCACCAAACCAGCCTGCTAAGACTACATTGATATAAACTCATATCAACTCCAAGGGGGCTGAACAGCAAGGAAGGATGTGAATATGCAGTGTTGAGGCACCAGCTGCCCACTGGCCACCTCAAGCAATCTTAAAAGCCCATCGGACTTGCCGATTCCATCAATGGGGGTGTTTGCCCCTGGACAACCATAAATATCTGATCATATGGCTCCACTATAACCAATGGAATGGACAAGACACTACCATATGGTTCCTGCCGAATCTGAACCAACCATCGGCAGCAAAGGCTTTACTCCTGTGAAGACTGATTTTATACCCCTGTGGCTGAGACTGCCTAGGTACAGGCACTAACAATTAGCTTCCTAGGTTTTGCCCTCACCCTCGGGGGGTGGGGAGTGAGAGTCAGTAAATAGGATGCATTATTTTAGGTTGGGGTCTTGCAGCTTCCGGTTACAGCTCATCGAAAATATCTAGGCCTACTTAGTTCCATCACAGCAATGCCAAGCCTTATGTTATAGAGCTAAACAGTGTCTTTTGGGACTGGAGTTGCAACTGCTTCAACAGTCCTCACTTAGCTACAAGTGATTATTTGCTCCCCTTAAAACTAGTCCTCAAAACCACAGATCTTTCCACGTACCTACATGCTTACTGTCTTCTTCCCTTGGATCAGATCCTTTAAGTACATGCATGCTTTCTATCTTTGATTACCATAAATTAGTAAGCACTGGATTTTCAGTGACTGGCGGAAGATTGCGTGGTCATAATAAATCTCATTTTTCATTACATCATGCAGATGGGCTCACATACAACATTTATGGGAGGATTTTTTTTTTTTTTTTCTGGATACACTGCAAGGGGCGTTCATTTCGGTGGACTGAGCAGTATTTTATTAAGAAGTATGTGCTCATTCACCATTCAATATATAATTAACTTAAATGACTTCCACTTCCTGAACAGCATGGTTGTTGTGTATATACCGATTTATCTCTTGCAGAGATGGAATTTTTCAGCGAATGTTCTATTTTTTCTTCTGAAGATGTTAAGGTGGGCTAAAGAACATGGCAAAGAATTCTTTTCATGTTTTTCAAATTTGCATAGCATGAATCTGGTCAAGCATTTGTGGTGCCATTTTAGGAAGTGATCAAAAGCAACATCATCCGGACATACACACACACACACACACACACACACATATATATATATAAATGGAACTCGGGGATATTCTGTCATTAAATTCATATCAGATATGAAGAAATAATAATATTTTATTGAATCAGAAGGGGAGATAACTTTGGTGATAAAAGAAGGATTTATATTATATTAGTGTTTTCATTTAGTCAGTGTATTTCATTAGATATTATTTTATGAAATAAAATTATAAGAGATTTGAATCTCTGAAGCTACATTTATTTAAAATGTATTAAACTGAATGATTTCGTTTATGTAATGAAATAGATAAAGCATATATAAACATATTTTTGTTCAGAGACTTAAATAACATAAAGAAATACTGCTGGAATAAACTCTGCTATGGCTTTTCTTAGTAAGAGTTCCTAAAAGTTTCTAAAAATTTAAGAAGTAATAAATTGCTGTGTTAAAATAGTTTTAATAGCATTTTTAATGTGAATAAATAAACTATTTTCTTAGCTGCAAGTTAGGTTAATTCAGTTTTCTATTATGCCAGTGGTTTCAGTGATTTGTTTTTATTAAGATTAAAAACAATATGTTATAAAAGATAAGTTTATTTACAGTAATTGGAAGAAGAGATGATTAATTTATTTAATTTTTACATCTTTCAATAAAACTATATAATGAATTATCTGCAGTGAATAAATATTGAATGTTTGTTTTCAGTAGACAAGAAATTTCTCAAATTTCCTTTCATTTTTTAATTTGTAAGACTTTGATAAAGATATTTTGGATAAAAAAAGCTGTTGAAATAAATTAATTTTAATATTCATCATTGTTAAAGCATGCATCATTGTAATAGCATTAATGCATTAATGTCCCTAAATTTGAAATGAGCAGGGAATTAAATGCATCACGTTCATATATTAGTTCTTATTCTATTCTCAAATATTAATTATCTTTATTTTTTGGAAGATTTTAAACAATAATCAGTAAAGCTCTTGTTTTTGAAAATGGATGATTTCTCAGTAATATTTGTTTGAAAATTTGCTAATTGCTAGATTTAGTTATTAGAACTGCTCGTTATAATTTGTCTTCATACTGACAACTGTATTTAAGTAATTCAGAATATTTTAAGAAGATTTAAAAAGAAAATATAAATAAGTCATATAGATAAGATTTTATCTATATGCCTTATTTATATTATCTTCATTAATCATTCTACTAGTTTTCTTCTTTACTTTACTAGCATTATATTTCCTCTACATAGTATATGTGGCTATGTAATAAAACACCAGAAAATATTTGATTTTTAATTGCGTATAATATTTGATGTTTCAATAAAATTTAACCAATAATTTGATAATTTTTATCTACCCTTTTATTTTTTCATTCCAATACTAAATATGTATCTTTAGAATATATTGTTGGTGATTTAAATTATACAAAATAATTGACTATTTTTTTCCTGCTTTTATTTTTAAAATAAATTTAATGGACAGTACTAATCTGCTGCAAAAGTTTATTTAATTTCTATATTAAAAATGCACATGATTTACTCATAAAGTAAGCATTCATTTATCTTGTCATTTTGCTCTCTTCATATATCACCTGACCAGTTGGCCATATTACCCATGAAATTTTAATCAGTTTTTTTCGCTCAGAACTGCTTATTTAAATTTTATTAAAAATACATACTATTATTTGCCATCATTCAGTGATATTAAATGAAAGGTAATTTTATTTTTTTAAGTAGATTTAAATCATGCTCCTTTTTTGTACTATACAACTACATAAGCTTAATATTTTTAATATGCAGCCTTTGCATACATATGTCTATGCCATAATAGTTGCCTCATTCATTTTTTTAAAAGTGTACTGTAATTTTTAAAACCTGAAATATGATGTAGCGACCGTCCTTGCTGCAGAGGTTAATGGGAGCAGTAATGCCATCACGACAGGGAAGCCTTAATTTGGATGATGAGCAGTTTGAAGATGCCGATTCGCACATGCCACTTTCAAGACAAGGATCAGTGCATCGTTCAACTCTAAGGTAAACATGTAGTAGATTTAATATCATAATAATTATAAAATTATTCAGTCTTGTTCCAGTTATTTAGTAGATTGTTTCTAAACTTAATACCTCCTATTCAGTTTATCCTATACATGAGACTTTAAAAGAAGGAAGCAGTTGGCATCATTCTCTTTAACGTTTATCATATTTATATACTTGCAGAGTTTAAAGATTAGGGTGAACTTTATGAAAGTAATTTCAACACTATGGAAAGCTTTTGGAAAAATGGTGTAATTTTTTTTTTTTTTTTTTTTTGTGGTGTGTGTGTGTGTGTGTGTGTGTGCGTGCGTGTGTATAAAATAAATATGAGTAATTAAATAAAAATAAATAAATATTTTATTTTATTAATGCCTTAAATTTTTCTTCTTAATGATTTTTACCTCAAGAAAACTTGAATGCCTTAATGATTTTCTCGAACCATTCTGCAGATATATCCATAACCACCCTTCCTATTTTATTCACTATATACCATAATCACATTTGAAACAGTTACTTTTCTGCATCATTCGTATGAGTAAAGATGTCACCTTCCAATTTATCAGTATTGATCAGAGTAAAATAATAAAGCAATATTGTCAATTATACTAAATGTCTTTAGGGATTTGGAATTTGTTATGGACTGTAAATATGATATTATGGAAAAAGCTATAAATATTTCATTTTTGTATCTGTTAATTAAATTTTGCAGTTTATTGTTATGTGCTTATATGTATTTTTATTATTATATTTCTTTTGAAATCATTTTAAATAGTGTTCTGGTTTTTCCTTCTTTTTAATATTACTGTTTGCAATACTTTGTAGTATTGATAAGAATCATAACAATGAGGATAAGAAATGGAATAGATCGTTTAGCTTTTTGAGAAGAGGTAGCAGTAGAAGAAAGAAAAAAGGAAATGGTAATGGTGTTGGTCCACCATATACACAGGTAAAGTCTGACAAATTTTGTCTTTCATATTTTAATTTAAATCTTCCACTTAACCATTAAAAAATATTAATACTTGAAACTTTGCATTTAACTGACATTAGGTACGTAAGAGCAAATACTTCTAAAGAACAAAGCATTCTAAGAAATTTACAGTTACTATTTCTAAAATATTATTCTTTTTCTTACGTTTATAAGGTATTTCTGTCGACGCCTTAGCATGCCTTCATGGCTCAGTGTTCTTATGTGTTGGGAGTGAATCTTAATAGTGCACATTTTCTTTACTGTCACGTTTATATCTTAATTTGCTTTCTCTTATTTGTTCAAATTGCAAAGATTAATGTCTCTGTTTCATTTATCTCAAGTTTATAGGTTTAATTATTTATAATAAAAATGCATAGTTCATTGTTAGTCTGCTATTAAAATGATCTGATTTGGTTTTAAGAGAGAAATTACCGTATTTGACGGCATATAAGACACACTTTTTTTCCTAAATTTGGTCTCAAAAAAGTTACCTGCATCTTATACATGAAGGACACAGGTTAACTTTCAATACTGAATGCTACTTTTAGCCCGGATAAAAGTCTAGACACACGTAACTTTTTCTACATTTGCCATAATTATTTTGCGCATGCGTGAAATATCTGTCGCCAAAAAGCAGAAAAGCTCGAAGCTGATGTCGAAGTTCGAACAGGTTCGATGGTCACATTACATCTATGGAGCCTTTCCTTCTTTACATAGACTTTCTTTGACTCAGCCGACACACGTGTCGGTATCGGTGCTACCCTGTATAAACATGTAGGTATCAGTGTTAAAACTATTTGTTTAGAAAAATACCCTGGAAAATATGACTACAGGAAACAAGAGATTAAGCTATACAATTCAGTATAAACTAGGAGCGTTAAACTACGCCAAAGTGCATGAAAACAGAGCATCAGCAAGGCATTTCGATTCAACACCTACCAAAAAAATGATACATAGTTGGCGACTGCAGAAAGATCAACTGAAGACTGCTAAAAAACAAAAACATAACCTTCGATGCCCAGCTCCATCTTCCATCTTGGCCTGAACTTTGAAAATGCTGTAAAAATGTGGCTGATAGATAAGAGGAGTCTGGGATAAGTGTCTCTACCAAAATGATAATCAATAAGGCCAAAGGATTTGCAGAAAACCATGGGAATCAGAACTTTTCAGGGTCTGAAGGCTGGTGCTACAGGTTCATGAAAAGGCAAGGCTTATCACTGCGCACAAAAACAACTATTGCACAGAAAATGCCAGCAGATTATGAAGAAAAAATACTAGCATTTCATAGGTTTGTTATAATTGCATGCAAGAAAACTTCTTTTGAGCTCAGTCAAATAGGAAATATGGATGAAATTCCACTCACATTTGATGTACTATCCAACAAGACTGTGAGTATTAAAGGGTCTAAATCAATAACCATAAAAACCACAGGTCATGAATAAACCCAATATATGGTACTTCTAACATGTTGTGCTGATGGCACAAAACTACTGCCGTTTTTCATATTCGAAAGAAAAACTTCCAATGGGTGTAATTGTTCATGTTCATCCAAAAGGCTGGATGGATGAAGCTGGAATGAAACTGTGGTTACAGAATGTATGGGCGAGGTGACCTGGTGGACTCTTAAGAAAACCCTGTCTTTTGGTTTTGGATCAGTTTAGTGCCCATAGAACTCAAACCATAAAGAATAAAGCGAGATAATTAAAAACCCAGATAGCTGTCATTCCTGGTGGACTGACTAGCCAATTGCAGCCTTTAGATGTATCAGTGAATAAGTCATTTAAGGAAAAAGTGCGAGAACGATGGAACAAATGGATAGGAGAGCCACATCATGCCCTCACACTCTCAGGTAGAATGAAGCGGCCCTCTGTTTCACAATTGTGCGAGTGAGTAAAATGATCTTGGGAGGACGTAAAGGCTGAAGTAATTGTTAAGTCCTTTAAGAAGTGCGGAATCAGTAACGCTCTTGATAGAACAGAAGATGACACATTATTCGAAGAAGGTGATACTAGCGATGACGGAAACAGAAGTGATGATGATATTCTCGTTTTCGATGATGATGATAGTGAAAAGGATTTTTATGGTTTCGAAAGTGATTAAATTCTAATTTCATGATAGGCAACGCTGACCTTGAATCTGTGTTTTTTGTTGTTTCTGCTTTTGTGTTATGTTTGATTGCTTGCCGTTCATTCATTTATTCATTATTGAAATTTACATATCATGTTCAAAATAATTTGTCATTTGTTAATTTTCCTTAATAAAAATATGTTTGGTAATTGCATTCAATGATTGTTTATTTGGCTTTTATGAAACGTGAGAACTAAAGGTTTAAGTTATTGTGGTAACGCGCTGTTGTGCAGACTATTGAAACTTTTTTCCCTTGCTTGTGACCTTCTAAATAAGGATGCGTCTTATATGCCGTCAAATACGGTATTTGATTAAAATTATTCTACTTACTTTATTCCTAAACAAGTTTCATTAAACTGCTAAATTTAAATAAAAAGTAATATTTTAAAATTAGCTTCTTTATCAAACTTTAATAAGATGTAACATTTTGTATTGGAAAATATGACCTATAATTCCAAATAACTTTTTTTTTTAGTTGTAAAAAAGGCTTCTAAAAAAAGGAACAAAACATTTAATCAAACAAAACGGAATTAGGAATAGTAATTCAAGCATTAAGTGTTAAGTATTAAGGGGACTTGTTACCATTCAAGGCAAACTTTTTCATTTTTATATGCATTATCCACTTCGTCATAAGTAGGTTTTGTATATTTTAGAATGAAACTTGAACAGTTTTTGGATAAGTTAATATATAGTATAATATCTAAATAAATGATTCTATATTTACAGTTTAAATAGCTATCTTTTAAACAATCAAAAATATAAACATAAAATTAAAAAAATGAATTCACTTACCTCTTGTTCCCTGCACAATATCTTTTGAAAGATATATACCAGAATCTAAATTCTTATGTCAAACATAGAGATGTTATTTAAGTAAATTAAATATTGCCTTTATTCTGTGAATCAAAAATTTAAACGTTAGGTTTAATATTTTTTTATATTAAGAAATACAGAAATGCTAAAATTTATAAAATATTGTATATGTATTATACTGCAATTTAAAATTTCTGGCCCACATTCACATAATTGTTGTTCACAAAATAAAGATCTAGAACATACATGCAAAATTTTGTAGCACTACGGTCATTACTTTTTTTTAAATTAAGAAATGAGGAATTCATATTTAAATATTAAATTTTTATTATTTACAATGAAATTAATATGTAAGCATTTAAAATGCACCTTCTTCATGTATAGGTCTTTCAAGATCTATAAACTGCTCATGCATTGCTCTTTCTCTCATTCAGTTAACCCTCCAGCCCTCTAATGTTGAGGACTGTTATTTAACTTCTGCTCCTTTTTCAGGTTTATAATCAGATTGTAAAGACGAAGTAATACAGAAATGTCAAGTCAAAACCAAGATATTCTATTATGCTGATTTAACTAGCGATTCCTTCTTAAAAATCACCATTGCCGCATTTATTGCTATATCAGCTACAATTTTAGAAGAACCAGATGTGTTTAGACATTATTTCCACATAGTTGAGTTAAAAAGTTCATTTGCATTTTGAGTCTGTCCACCCAGACTTTTTTTTTTTTTTTTTTTGTAGTAATTTAGGTCCTGAAAGCTCAGCAAAAATATGCACAATCTTATTCTTTACAGGAACTGGCACAATAGTTTCATATTTGTATGATGAAACACTTCCTGTGTGCTCTCCTTTCTTGTACTAGCACCATAAAATAGGTCCAACTGGGCAGAAATGATGCAGAGTTGATTATCAGTAGATCTGTAATGGCAATAAATAGCCCTTATAGCCTTATGCATGTCTCTGATAGAGCTATTATTTTTTAATAGCATTCCCATAGTATGTAGTTAATTTATCTATTAAGTCCCCCTTTTTTTTTTCTTTTTACTATCTGACAATTTCTTGCAACAATTCTGTGTTAATTTACGTAATCTTTCATCCATATGCTTTTGTACATGTCCTACGCATTCCACTTTTTCTACAGTATATGGTACAAAATTCTGAATTTTCGGAAATGTTTTTCTGTATCCATCTCCTATATATTTCACATTTCTTTCAGACACAGATTTTTGAAATGTTCTTTTCTTACCTTCATTTTTCTCAAAGAACCAGAATGTTTTTTCACAAAATGTAATTGATGTCTTTCGTTCCAGTTATCATATGCCGTTCCACACTTTGAACCCTTCCACTGCTCACAACTCTTACCATATGATGACATGATTTCAAGAAACTTTCCTGTGTCAAATCTCCAATAATACTGTAAATGCCAATAAGGCATGTTTTCTTTGTCCCATCACCACTGACACAAATTTTATTATTTTTAATAGATACAATTTATTCTTTTACAACATTCTTCATTGAGTTGTCAGTGACTTTAAAACTAGCTAACTTTGTTTCCTTTAAAATGCTATCATATGACTTTTAAGAAACAGGAGGCAAATCTATATCTGTACAAACATTTTTAATGCCCCTCAGACTTAATCCCGTTGTATGCATAGAATAGATTATTCTGCTGTTTATTTCATAATCATGCTAACTTGAGTCAACTATAAGTAAGTTTTGGAATGCTGACAATGACTTTGTGAAATACTTTCTAGATGAAACTCAGAAACAAGTTCATATACAATTCTTTCTCTTAAAACTGCTTCAGATTTGGACTAAGTGCATATTAAAAATTTTGGTTATTCTGATAACAGAATATCAATATTTGCAAGTCTATAACTATTCTTATGATTAGAAATATTAATACTTTCCTCCACATGACTTTCTAAGTACAGTTTTTTGACTGATAAAGATATACTTGAAACATCTAGTTCCATTGTTTCATTTGAAGTATGCTGGTTTCCGTGAAAATATCTTTCTTTTTGCAATAACTAGGTGAGTTAC